TTCCCACTGGGAATTCCCAATTCCCCCATTCCCAATCCCCCATTCCCACTGGGAATTCCCCATTCCCAATCCCCCATTCCCACTGGGAATTCCCCCATTCCCAATCCCCCATTCCCACTGGGAATTCCCGTTCCCAATCCCCCATTCCCACTGGGAATTCCCCATTCCCAATTCCCCCATTCCCATTCCCACTGGGAATTCCTGTTCCCAATCCCCCATTCCCACTGGGAATTCCCGTTGCCAGTGGAGCGCCGGCGCCGGGACAAGATCAACAACTGGATCGTGCAGCTGTCCAAGATCATCCCCGACTGCTCCATGGAAAACACCAAATCCGGACAGGTCCCACCCTCCCCCACCCTCCCCTCCCCCCTCCCAGCCTTTGGGCTCCCGGAATTCCCGCGGTGACCCCGAAATCCCAAATTCCCAGAGCAAGGGCGGGATCCTGTCCAAGGCCTGCGATTACATCCAGGAGCTGCGGCAGAGCAACCTGCGGCTGAGCGAGGAACTGCAGGGCCTGGACCAGCTGCAGATGGACAACGAGGTCCTGCGCCAGCAGGTGGGATACTGGGAGCACTGGGAGGGACTGGGAATGGGATTGGGGTCACTGGGATGGGACTGGGATCGATGGGATGGGACTGGGGTTACTGGGATAGGATTGGGATCGATGGGATGGGACTGGGATCAATGGGATGGGATTGGGGTCACTGGGATGGGATTGGGGTCACTGGGATGGGATTGGGGTCACTGGGATAGGATTGGGGTCACTGGGATGGGACTGGGATTGATGGGATGGGATTGGGGTCAATGGGATGGGGTTGGGGTCACTGGGATGGGATTGGGATCAATGGGATGGGATTGGGGTCACTGGGATGGGATTGGGGTCACTGGGATGGGACTGGGAATGGGGTTGGGATCACTGGGATGGGACTGGGATCGATGGGATCAGGGCCTGGACCAGCTGCAGATGAGCAATGAGGTTCTGCGCCAGCAGGTGGGACTGGGAGCACTGGGAAGGACTGGGAATGGGATTGGGGTCACTGGGATGGGATTGGGATCACTGGGATGGGATTGGGATCACTGGGACTGGGATCAATGGGATGGGATTGGGATCACTGGGATGAGACTGAGATCAATGGGATGGGATTGGGGTCACTGGGATGGGACTGAGATCAATGGGATGGGATTGGGGTCACTGGGATGGGATTGGGGTCACTGGGATGGGACTGGGATCAATGGGATGGGATTGGGGTCACTGGGATGGGACTGGGATCACTGGGACTGGGATCAATGGGATGGGATTGGGATCGATGGGATGGCATTGGGGTCACTGGGATGGGACTGGGAT